GGCTAGTTTGAATGGGCATCGAGGACGAAGAAGAGCTTCGACTGGTGAAGGAAGATGCTTTGAGAATTGGACGCTATTCGAGGCAGGAAGCGAGGAAAAGGGACGGAATTTCCATCGGAGGCACAACTGGTAGTAAGATTGTCTGGAGATCTTGATAAAAATGATAATATTTGAGGGTAATGAATATGGGGTGGAAGAAAGGCTGGAAAAAAGGAAGATGTGCACGATGTAAAGCGTTTTTTCATGCGCGAGAACTGAAAGAGCGAGTTATTGATTAGGTTGAAGTTCATTGTTTGCATTGTGGGCTGTGGTACCACTCGGTCGCCCAGTCCAGAGTAGGCCTTGTTCGAGGATGCACTCTAGCCCTTACGCAACCAAGCGCGAGCTACAAGGTAGCAGTATTGTTTCAGATAAACCGGTGACCGGTTGGTTGGTTCATTCACCTTCTCCGGAAGACCTCGTCGGTTGATGGAATTCAACAAGGGGACACTCACCACGTCACAGCGCTGCCATAAGATACATGTGGTGTTTTGTGTGGAGAACCCTTGCCAATAGGTAAACCCACCACATCATCGAGCACTTCGCTGATCGTCCGCGACCGCTTATTCACTGAGAACAGACCCACCTTATTCACAGTTTGCCGCCGTTACTCTATCCGCGACCTAGGGACGCGCTCGGTAGCATACAGCTCTGCTCTTGCCGAGCCATGGCAGGGTAGCTTCAATAAATGCCTTGATCTTATCGGTCGTTTTCAGAGGGCATCTTTCCCGAGATGCATCAACGTTGAAAAATTCTCCGGCAATCGTTTGATTGGACATAGCACTGTTAACAGTTTCCCTTGAAATGTCATGAGCTTTGAGTTGCCCCTGGCCGATTCAGCATATCCGATCCATGCTGCTTCTCTTTGATAGATTAGCGCTTGCTCAATTTCAAATGAAATGACTGTCTTAAATTGTTAACATCTGTCTCCCTTCTCCATAAATGTTATCCAATTACTGAGTGGCACCGTTTGTGTCTCGCATTAGATGGAACATCGTTGACTGCATGCGACATTGCATCTTGGTTTGTGAATAGCCAACACGTATATCTACATGCGTTTTGCACCTTCAAAGTGTAAAATGTTGCTACACGACTATGTTGGTCCAGTTCCCAACCTCACCCTAACTGGGGACGTGGTAGAGTAGAGTGGTAGACAAGTTTCACTATCTGAATAGCTATATCTTACTTGACGGATGCATAACGGATGAAGTGTCAACACGCAACAGAATGCTCGTTTGGCATTTGCTAACTTGAGACATTGGTGGTGCCTCCACGAAATCC